AGTGTCCTGCCTGCTCATCTAGGCCAGAAGACACTATTGTTTCTATGTGACAGAGCAAAAGAAGTCTGGAAAAGACTAGGGATGGACGATATTATCAACAGAGCTTGTAAAATAGACTATGCGGGTGAGGCAGTCTTGGAATATTTACTTTCATTACCAGATCAGAAACTATGTATTATGGGCACTCGAAATGTGTGTGACATGATTTCCATATTGGCCTGGTATTTGTGGTGGGGAAGGTGGCAAATTGGTGCACAATGAAACTACTCAGAATGCACAACAGATATCCACGGGGATACGCGCTCTCACTGCCAATTTTGTTAATGCCTCCTCACCAAAAGCTTCCATGAAAAGAGGAGGATGGTCTAGCCCCCGACGAGATTTGTTAAACTTAACGTTGATGCTTCTTTTCACCACGACCTTCTCAGGGGTACGATCGAGGCGGTCTTAAGAGATGACAAAGGTAGGTTCATCAATGGGGGAAATGGTAAGATTGACTGGTGTGCAGATGTGTTGATGGCTGAAGCTTTGGCGTTAAAATTCGGCTTATCGCTTGCGCAAAGGACGGGTTGTAATCTCATAATTATTAACTCGGATACTATGAAGGTGATCGAGACCATGAACGAAGGAGGACGATCGTCGGGGGCATCAGCTGTAATTTTTTATGATTGTTTTCACTTAGCTTGCGATTTTTCTATTTCTAGATTCGAGCATTGTAATAGAGAAGCAAATAAAGTTGCTCATGAACTTGCCAAGTTGGCTAGATTTTCCTTCATTTCCAGTTGGCTCGAGGAACCACATAATGCAATTGTACCAATCCTCATAAACGATGTAATGATTATTTCTAATGAATAAAGCTCGAACTTTCTTTTAAAAAAATAGATGGCAGACTGGGAGTGCCCGCGATCCACCAAAGATCCACTACTAGGGAAATGCTTATACACAGGGCCTATCTTGTTTTATACTATTTTACCTAAGAGAAGGTAGTAGGTCCTAGCTAATACTCATGATCATGTGCTAAGAACAACTAAATAGGATTGGTTAGATGACTATGGTGATGATGTGGTATCGAGTAGAAGTTGTACGATTGATGATGATGAGTAGGACTTGTTATTATGATACCAATGATGAGTTATTTATTATTATGATCGATGATGCATGATGCTAAGTTGTTATATGAGCATGATGAGTTATTATATATATCAGTAGGTGAAATGAACATGGAATAGATTCAAGTGGAGGCAGCATGTGGTGCACATCGAAAATACTACTAATCCAAACTAGATCAAATTTGGATTAGTAGTACTTTCGACATGCACCACATGTTGCCTCCACTTGAATCTACTCCACGTTTATTTCACCCACTGTTATATATAATAAGTAATCATGGTTCATAAAATCATATGATGAAAGTACTATATATAAAACCAGAATGAAAATAAGCTATATTTTCAAAAATACAAGAAAAGTTAGCAGCAACGCTTTTCTAAAGAAACACTACTACTACTTTCTATTATCTGTAGCGCTTTCCCAAAACAAGCGCTACTGCTAACTTGGTATAGCAGTAGCGCTGGCATTCCAGCGCTACTGCTAACAGTTAGTTGTAGCGCCTTAGTGGTAGTGCTTGTTCAAGCACTACTGCTAGCTACAAAACAAGCGCTACTACTAGGGTTTTTCCTAGTAGTGATCGGTGCTCAATTGCTACGAGACGAATACTTGCACATTGTCATGCGGTGAAAATATATATTTCGGGACATTAATGTGGAAGCGTTTTTAATGACTAGATCTACTATAAAGGTTCACAAGAAGTATAAAGCACAACAAATGTTAAAAAATTACATCAAGGTCTCTGGACCACCGAACTACCATTGACATCCCTAAATGGGTCATCGAAGGCGCAGTTAGGGAAACTATTGCTCTACATGTTTCATATTTCTTGTATTCCTCATTTCCTAGTGAGACAACTTGAGGTCTAGCTCCCTCACTATCGGTGCTTACAATCGGTACTCGCCTATTTACTCGATCACTACTAAATCATCACTTTCTTCCTTGCCGAACCTTATGAGAGATGCGGTAAAAATAAATTGAGTGTTTGTTTCCTTGTTTATGTCAAACTAAGTACTCCCTCCGTCCGGAAATACTTGTCATCAAAATGAATAAAACGGGATGTATCTAGATATATTTTAGTTCTAGATACATCCTTTTTTGTCTATTTTGATGACAAGTATTTTCGGACGAAGGGAGTACGTACTTACACACAACATAGAATCTGAATGCTAAGAAAAGAACTACAACCCTGATTGCTCTCGGCCCGCTACTCCAAGCGGCGGGCTTGCCACACACCAGAGCCTTGTCGATGTCCAGCCTCTGGCGTCATGAAGACATCCCTTGAGACAAACTCAATGCAGGACGACATCCTAGCGCCCACTCTGCACCGCCTCCTCATGGACGCACGGATGGGTGTAGTGTCTATGATCCAAGAAGGGCAAGGAAAGGCAGTGGTGTGGTGTCGCCTGTGACGATAACCTCACACTGTGGCTCCTTGCGGTGCATCCGCCTAAGACAACGGTGATGGTCAATGACCGGAATGGTCGGCGCTCCACCCATTGGCGCCCTGCGATGAATAACTTGACACAATGTCCTCCCGCCCGGGGACAATGACACTTTTCCCTCGAGGAAATAGGTAACCGCACAAAAAAGGATCTTATTGTTTTGGATATTATATATTGTAATCCTCTAACTATGACATATGCACGTATTGGTCCAGTTGACTGACACTCAAGACATCAGGCTTGCTAGACTTTCCAGTTTGGCCTCTGAATTCCATGATATTCGTAAATAAGTTGTTGTTCTTAAACAATCACACAAGCCCTCTGGTTATTTTCCCACACTCTTTATCCTAAGTTTGAGTGAGGAACAAAATAGTGATTTTTTTTGATAAAGGACTTCTCATTGAATAGATATATCGAGGTGATACAATTGTATTAAAAGAAAGTCCGGCCTCTGCATAGCTAGATGCGCACAGTCAAAAAGTCCAGAGCACCCTAAAAATAAAATAATTCGATACAATGCCAAGCAATAAATCGTGTCCAGCCTAAGGAGCGGTAGATCCTATCCGTATATCACACTGCCATCCATGGGGGTAGAAAACCTCCCTGGCCGTACGCTCCAGCCGTGTAGACGCCATCATAAAAAGGTCACTATCCTCCGGCTTCTACAGGATAGACCACGTACAGAGCCATCATGTACAAACATGAATAACCTGCATAGGAGATGAGACACATTTATTGTTAAAAACTACATCATTCCTGGTAAGCCACATTGCCCAGCATAAGGCCGTCGCTCCCACAAGAATATGTGCAGAAAATTGTTTATCAATACCCTGCAACCAGTTGCCGAACATATTCTGTACACTACGTGGTGGGTATAAATTCGAAGCTACTTAAACCATGGTCCAAACTGCCCGAGCGAACTTGCACTCAAAAAATATAAGTGTTTGATAGACTCGTCATGTTGGCAAAAGACACATGTCTTGGAATCGTGTCAGTTTTGTCGTGCCAGATTATCTCTAGTTAGGATGACTCCTTTGTTTAGAAACCAGAGGAAAATCTTCACTCTTAGAGGAATTTTTAGCTTCCACAATTTCGATTTTGTGGTGAACTAGTAGATGGGCGTGTGCCAAAAGTAAGGGTGATATTGAGTGGAGTGAAATATTGGGTTGTTTTGTGTGGAGGAAATATAAATTATTGTTGAATTAAATATATGCATACATGATCTCAACAGCTACTGAATACCAAATAGAATGATGGTGAGTGGAAAAATGTGACAACACACGCTATTAGTGTGCATAAACATGATGACACAATATTGGTTGAGCCGGTGGCAAAAGCCAAAAGGCACATAAATGAAAGGAATAAAACAAAGAGGTGGATGATGGTCGGAAGAGATTATGAGGTAAGAACCTCCATCCGATATCTCGAGATGGTTTTTTCCCATTCTGCAACAACACACATGGGTATTTAGCTAGTTATTATTTGTTGAGGAAAATAGTAAACTTCACCTAGGGGGTCTCACCCTGTCCTACATAGCACATGGTTAAAAGTAAAGTCATGTCAAATAAACTAAGGTCCAACCAATAGACATGGTCAACACAAACCGGGAGTGGCTCAGATGGTTAGGTTCCTTGTGGTGAAACCAACCCACCAGGATTCAAGCCCTAGACTTGACATTGGTACTCACATTTTTCTGTATTCATTTAAGCCTTTCCGGCGATGTTCGCTCACTGGGATAAGAGATACCATCGGCGTCTGTGGTGACTTCCTCAATCTCATGTTAAAAAAATAGACATGGCCAACAAGTCAAAGAAAAATAATATAAAACGACGTAAGCCCATGAAGGACGAAACCTAATTCAACAGCATGTTTATCGTTGCAAGATTATGACACCCTTAGTGCTATCGTGTCATGTCTCCATGACTAGTCAACCCTAATTAAGCTCACTCAAACCAATACTTAATATATGGGTTTGTCGTAAACGGTTTGCCAAAACGAGAGAGAAACCATCCAGTTTAATAAATTGAATTATGCATGATTGTAGAAAGTTTTCGAGGTATTTTAAAATGTGATAACATCTTAACAAGTTACTTCCGGACCAAAATTTAAATTGAGCCGGTGTATTATAGAGAAGAGAGAAGGTGGTGATGTGGATAAAGCTGGTTCTATTGATGTCAAAGTCGGGTTGAAAACTAGTGAAAAAAGATAGATATGCAGTATTATTCTCAATGGAACATTCGTTCATTAATATCGCCCAGATCACCATCATATATTACTTTATTTGTCGATGCAGAAAAATACTTCATCTGTTGATTAAATTGACCAAAACATGTGTATTATTCTAGCGGCACTAGAAAGGAAAACTATCTGGTTGTTAACAAGAGACATCTCATCATTATGACTCGCTGCCTAACAGTGCAGAATATTCAAGGAAGCATCCCCACAACTTTAGACCTATATAAAGCGCTGGTATACACAACACGAAAAGCACACAGAGAGAATATACATGGCAGCGTCACCACTGCCGAGATGGGCTCCGACGCCGAGCCCTACCAAGCCACTCCGGTCGACGACGTCGAGCACCGCCATGGTTTCATGGCGTGGCTGGTCGGCGTGGCCGTCAAGCCCCATCTTCTTCCCACGTTGTCTCTCTGACTCCGACCCATCGAAGGCTTCGCCGCCGGCCAGTGGGGTGGTGGACAATGTAGAGGCCGGTACTACGGAGGTATTTCTGACGTGGAAAGACCTCTCAGTGACGGCCATGAACGGGAGAAAGGGCCGTGCTGTGATCCTTGATAAGCTTAGCGGGTACGCGCGCCCTGGAGAAGTGCTGGCTCTCATGGGTCCTTCGGGCTGTGGCAAAACTACTCTACTTGATACCTTAGCTGGTATGGCTTTCTCTACCCTACGAAATAAGCTGGTAACTTGACATGTTCATCTTCGGTAAATTTAAACTCGACTTTTTGCTCAAAAGAAAACTTTACTTTCTTCAATACTGTCTAGAAATGCATAAATTTATTATCTCCGAGTGAGTACATCAGTGGCGATACTGTATCTGCCCTTCCATTATTGAGAAAAGGACTCAATTCACAATTGAAGTATACTCCCTCCATTCCCAAATATTTGTCTTTCTAGGCATTTTAAATGGACACAACATACAAATGCATGTAGACATATTTTAGAGTGTGGATTCACTCATTTTGCTATGTATGTACTCCCTCCGTCCGGAAATACTTGTCGGAGGAATGGATGTATCTAGACGTATTTTAGTTTTAAATACATCCATTTTTATTCATTTCTCCGACGAGTAATTCCGGGCGGAGGGAGTAGTCATTTGTTGAAATCTCTAGAAAGACAAATATTTAGGAACGGAGGGAGTACTTGCTAGGGAAATGAAAAAGGAAACTTTTGAAAGTAATGCTTGTATTATCTTCCAGTCTCTGCATATAGATGATACTAGATAACCATAATTTAAAGTACCCGGGAAAAATTACATATGATAGGAGATATGTTGGTTATCTGCTAATTTGTTGCAGTCATGGTCTTGTGGTATATATACTCTTGCAGTTTGTGATATTACTTAGAAAACATGTCTGGATACCAAGACGATAAAATAAATACATTAAAAGATTATTTAACCTTCAGTTCTTAGTCTAAAGTTTGCGCACAAGTTCGGGTATACTCTCCTTATTTACACTTATGAATATGGTCATAACATGTATGCTTAATCAGGACGACTTGGACCCAATATGAAAGAGAGTGGAGACATCATGATAAACGGTTGCCGGCAGAAGATTGCATCCAGAACCTCCGTAAGTTGCCCATGCTCATACGGCGCTCTCAATCAATGGCTAGCTATTACTCCCTCTGTTCGGAATTACTTGTCGCGAAAATGGATGTATCTAGACGTATTTTAATTTTAGATACATCCATTTTCGAGACAAGTAATTCCGAACAGAGGGAGTAAAACTGAACCAAATCACAGCCCTCTCACGACTTGCACGTTTTTGGCCGTCCGTTCACATGATATGGCCGATCTCAAGTGACATGACGGATGGCTATTAAAGGTTGTCGTACTAAAATCTACCAGAAAATGTCATCGTGTAGCAATGCTCCTGTACAATATTGATAGAGATGTAATTAAGCCTCGACGTTTGCGTGTAACTACCTAATAATAAGTTCCGACCGATCGCTTGCATGCACTAAAGGCATATGTGACCCAAGAAGACGTGCTGATGGTGACGTTGACGGTGGCGGAGGCGGTCCACTACTCGGCGGAGCTTCAGCTGCCGGACTCCTTGACGCCGGCTGAGAAGCGCTCGTGGGCCGACGACGTTATCAAGCAGATGGGGCTTGCTGCCCTGGCCGGAACCCGGATCGGTGGGCGCGTTTCCAAGGGCATCAGCGGTGGCCAGCGGAAGCGAGTGAGCATCTGCATTGAGCTGCTGGCGTCGCCGGCGCTCATCTTCCTCGACGAGCCGACCAGTGGGCTTGACAGCGCCGCGTCGTACCACGTCATGAGCCGCATCGCCGGGATCGCCAAAAGGAACGGGACGACGGTCGTCGCAGCCATCCACCAGCCAAGCACAGAGGTGTTCGAGCTCTTCCATGGCCTCTGCCTGCTGGCCAACGGGAAGACGGTTTATTTCGGGCCAGCTTCCAAAGCAATGGAGGTACGTATACGTTTTAGTGCTAGTATTACTTAGAAAAACATCTCGGCTAACTTTTATGAAGGGTTCATATCTAGTGCAATATTTTTGGCCTGAACTGCAACACAACCAATGTTCTGAAATGTGCCAACTGAGCGATGGGCACATGGGCCACTGTTTATATATGCACATGCGTCACTGTTTTAGAAAGTTCAAAGATGCATTTCAACCTTTTGATATTGTCTAATAAATACGTATCAAAAGTTCCATGGGCTACTTGAAAAGTTTGGTACTCTATCTTTGTTCTGTTAAATACATAGTTCTTTTTTTTGGAAATGGAGGCATGTCCCGGCCTAAATACATAGTTCTTACGACAGTTCCATAATGTCGATAAAAATGTGCAAACTCTCACTCCAATATGCGCCTTTAAATTAGGAAAAACCCCACCTAGTCAGTTTCCTGAATAAATTCGCTACGCTAGTAGGTCCAGGCAGGTTGAAGGCTACATGGATCGTGAACCAAAGAAGGGCGGCAAACGAACATGAAATAAAAAAGATGGTGATTTATTTACCCTTGATCATATAAACAACATTTTTCACTCCCTTGTCACTTATGTTTGCCAAATTATCCTTAGGATTCCCCCTCGATGAACAAACCATGGGAATTTATCCATCTTGAGCGGAAACTTAGTTTTCGAGATGCCATGCCTAGTATTTATGTGATCCTAGTACATAGATTTAACAGAGAATACCCGACAGGAATGCAACCGTCCTCAGAACGAATAACATTCATTAGTTAAGTTGATCCGACATACTAAATCGAGCCCTGATATCCACTTATCCTCGATCAAAGCACGTCGAAACTGAATGTTCAACAGATTTGCCCGAATACTATATTAACAGAAACTTCTTTCCATTGCAACATATTGTAGAAGGTCAGGTACGGTAAAGCCAATGGTCTATCCCTACCTAGGGAACATGTAGTATGACTATCACCAACTTAAAAACCACCTACACTGAACAACAAAGACTTTACTCTCATCAAGCCCTTCCAAAAGGGCGAGTTTGCCAGTTGTGCTGGTACCAATCTTTAAGTGGAGGTATTTAGTGCATAGTAACACTAGCCATACATCCTCCTCTTCTATAAGAAGTTTATGTAGCCATTTTTAAGAAAACATTTGTTCTTAATTTGTAAATCTTCAAGTACTAGTCCCCCGGTCTTTTGTCCAACATAGAATATCTGACTCCACCAAGTGGTAACTTCTTGTGTTTGCCGAAGTGCCAGAAGAATCTAGACCGGTAACAATTTAGTATTTTCCAAACCCCTTGTGGTACTTCAAGGAATGAGACCATGAAAACTGGTAGGATGGTTAGTAGAGTGTTGATGGATAAGATTTCCTCCATAGGACATAAGTTTTCCTTTCCAACAACCAAGTTTGTTTTCAAACCGGTCTTCAATACACTTCCACTCTTTATTTATATGCTTTTGAAAGTGAATGGTTATCCCAAGAAACCAAAATGGGAGCTTTCCCACCTCACGTGCATTTTTTTTGCTTAGAGTGACGATCTTCCGCTTTGGTACGCCCAAAGGAGAAGAGTTCACCCTTGTCAAAGTTCATTTTTAGCCCCGACAATTGCTCAAAATACATAGTATCAATTTCATATTTACTGCACTTCCCAAATTGTGTAACATAAATATGATAGGGTCATATGAATACGGGAGAATAGAAACACCACCACCAACTAAATGTGGGATGATCCCACCCACCCGACAATCCTCCTTAGCCCTCACTTTAAGAACCGCCAGCACATGACTTTGATATGAAGAGAATTGGCGACATAGTGTCCCCTTTCCTACCCTTCTAGGTTTGAATTTAATCACTGATGTCATCATTAACTTTCACTCCAAGGCTACCACTCTATAGTAATGCTTCCACCCGGTGCCTCTAGCTCGGATCAAAATCCTCCATAAACCAAGCTTTTTGTAAGAAATGCCATTTGACTTTATTATAGGCTTTCTCAAAATCGAGTATAAAGGTAATTTCATTGAGATTTTAGTGTGTACAATGGAAATTTTGTCGTGTTTCCGATTACGCTTGCGAGGGACCATAACATTGATCTATGTAGCTTCCCGATTCCTCGATGTCCTTAGGCGTCAGGTCCTCACAATATGCTGAATGGCATGTATAGACCAACCACTAGGATCGTTATCCTTAGCGGGTATGACATCCCACCATGCTCATTATGTGCAGGATTCCAAAACATGTAAAACCTGCTCATGCAAGTCTTACAAATCACACATCTTTCTCAATTTTAGAGATTCTTGGAATTATTAAAAAAAATTGGTAGAACATTCACTGTGTTTACGAGGTAGAAAATCATTTGACGTCAGCGGCATCAAAGTTCTAAATATTTCTAAACTTTGCATCTTAAGGACTTTTTACATAAAGTATGTTGACTAATGTAAACACTAATTTTGTGTAACCATTACATTTTTTCCTAAACAAAATGTATTTGTTATTGTAAGCTATTTATTTTTGTCATGAAAATTAATATCTAGATTGTGTACAAAAACACCAATGCTCATTTGGATAACTTGTAGTTCTTCGATGCTAATGGCTTCCCATGCCCATTGAGGATGAATCCTTCGGATCACTTCTTAAGGATGATAAACATAGACTTTGAGGTAAGAAATAGATCTCTCGAGGTTTTTTATACTTTGGAAAATTTAACTCCAACAAAATTCAAAGGCATATACATCATCTTTTCATAGGATTTTGAAGAAGAATCTAATGTTAATGTGCCGCATGCTGCGAAAGTAATCCAAACTTTGGTTGGTTCTTCTGGGTCTGTTGCTATCTTAGACACTGAAATAGAAGCAAGGCGAACAAATCAGGTATCTTCTTTATCTAGACTAAGATGATGCATCAGGTTAAGCTTGAAGATGTCTACTCATATGCTTCATGTTTCTATGGTTTATGATTCTGCAGGGAGAATATGTAGTTCAACAAAGGCAAGCTACATTCTTGACAAAATCAGTTGTCCTAACCAAAAGATCAATGACAAACATGCATAGAGACATAGGCTATTATTGGTTGCGCTTTGGTATCTACATCGCCCTTTTTCTAACCATTGGGACAATTTTCTTCAATGTTGGTCACAATTATTCATCAATCCAAGTAAGTCGTTGATT